GTAATGCTTTTTTAATTTTATTTATTTAACTAAATTTGACGATTTAATTAAAATTTTTGTTAAAATTATAATATATTCTGTAGTTTTCTTATGAATAAAATACAAATAAACAATTATAATTTGTTAAATAAAAAATAGTAATACCGTTACGTGTGTATTTACGGCTCCATGGGACACAAGGAGAAAAAACACACGTAACGTTACGGACACAATCCCTAGTAACTTTTGCGGACTTCCGGTGCGGATTACGGATTACGGGTTCTATGTGACGGCACCCTCAGGCTTCTCTCTGGTTATATTATGTTAGATTAGATATTTCGGCCAGAGTGGCCAATTTTGAGACGCAGAACAAGAAGCATGAATGAAGGGAGTTACCGCACCTATGCACAAGCCATCTAAAGGCTATTACACGTAAAAATATTTTAGTCACCGTAAGAAGTAAGCAAATTGACCAATCACAGTGAGCAATAATGCGAGTCACTTGCATGTGTAATGACCTTTAGGTGGCTTGCGTATGGTGCGGTACTTTTTTGCGTCTCAAATCTGGCTACATTGATTTCAGTGGATTTCGGCTGCAAGTGTACGTGTATCAACGTAAATAAAAAGTTGTTGAAATTGCTATTCAAAATGATGCAATTTGAAGAAGAAGGCGAAACGCTACAAGATAAATCTCGATGCGCCAACATTCGCGCTGATCTAAAAATGTGTTTGCTACGAAGCGATTGCTGTAAAATTGTAAGTGAGTGTAAAACTGTTATAACCTAACGTTCTGTACATTTATTACATGTGCATAAGTAATATTTCATGAAAAATAATATGTTTAATTTCTTAACTTTTGATTTTTTTGTTTCTCATTGTCTTTCAAACATTCAGTTTTTAAACTAGTAATATATAATATATATGTATATAATACATAAGTTGCATGAGAAATGTTTTAAATCTATTTGTGTATAAAAGATACAGTTTCTTAAATAAAGAAAGAGCTTTTGTTTTCTTGCAGTATAAGCGTACACCTAGGGAATGCCTTAGGTTACATGATGGCACAGTTCCAGATGAATGCTTTGCCTTGCGTAACTCATTCTTTGAATGTAAACATTCTTTAGTGAGTATATATAAATTTGAATTTTAAATTGTAAATATTATATAAAAATGGAAGGATACATTTATTTCTTTATATAATATACATATTAGAAAAACAAAGTAATTTATAGTTTTCTTTTTATCTCTGACAGATTGATGGCAGACGGCGATTTAGAGGTCCCAAAGGATACTAGTCATAAAATAAGGATGTATGTGTATATTTAAATGTGGGTACAGACTGTGCATGTATATATGTAATTTTCAATACAGATATATATTCTAGTAATAAAAAATTTTATTTCTTTATTGCGACAAAAGATCTTTTTAAATATTGATAAACAAAATTTAGGAAAAACAAGTGCTAATAAGGAAGAAATAAACAATTTAATGTTAGAAGTGATTTATTATTCGTCATATTCGTTGTACACGATTTAATAAATCTATTATATTTATGAAGTAGCAATGTATTATACAATTCATCGCATTTGTTTATAGTTATAGCATGATTTTTAAAGAGATTCTTGTTTTCTTATGAAATAACCTATTGTTAGATTTAGCTAAGAAATACGATGTTTTGTACAATTCCTAAGTTACTTTGAAGAGGCATACTTCTTTGTATAGAGCAAAAATTCTTTTGTAGGCAAACAGGAGGTGCCGTGTTTCTTTTCCAAGAACAAAAGCAGTTTATTTTAACCCTTTTAGTACATAATGTCATTAATCAAATATTAATTTTTATTAATTTCATGAAAATAATATAACTACTCTCCTTTCAATTTTATCCTTACAAAGTAAAATTACCTTATGCAATTAATAAAAATAGCAAGAAAATGTAAAGAAAAAAAAAAATACTTTTTAGTTGCTAAGTAAATTGAAATTAGGGGAAAAAGATTTCAAATCTCTTATTTTTAATATGTTACTATAAGGGTTAATGCAGTATGTCCAGTCTTTTCTTAAAATAATATTACATCAAAATTTTCACATATATGTGCAAATTATAATTTAAAATCAAAACTCATTTTAATATAATAAATATGCAATGAAGAGATGTGAATATAATACTTTATTTGGCGCGCTTTAATTATAATCAACATCATAGACTGGACACTATTAGTAGACTGTTTTATCACATCTCATAACTTGCGCTCTCTTGTCGCGCTGAATCGCATACACAAATGCGTGTATCGAACATGATACGCGTATGATCACAGTAGAATCGCACATTTCTCTTACTTCCTGTATTTTTCTTTTCCTTTTTTTATAGTTAAGTTTTGTTCCACTTTATGCTTAGCGAGTACGAATCTGGCGTATGATAAGCACGCCATTACGGGTCAAGTATTTTATTAAAAACCTACCAAGTGACGATTACGCCTGCGTAATCGCCCTAGCTATTGTCTGTATGCAACAAGCGTATATTGGCTATACGATTTTTTTTGTACTACAATGCCAACTCACGCTACTCTTTCATTCTCTAAAATGGCTATAGGCACCTAAAAAAATGGGATCTGCATAAGTTTTTCCCGTGTATGCCTTTGCTCTACTTTCATCTTTCTCTCATATACATATATATGGAGATAATCTTTAGACTGAATGTGGATAAAATATAAATCTACAAATTTGATTTAATATGAATTAGATTTATAAATTTTTATTTAACTCTGATTAAAAATTGATAATTTTTTCGCAGATAATTAGTTTTTTGTTATAAAGTATAAAAAAAAAATAAAACATAGTCTAACAATACATTATCATTATCATTATTATCAGTACAACTAATGTTGTTTAATTATTTCCGCAAAGATGATAAAACGTCTTGTAAATATGGTGTAAAAGAAAAATTTCTCTTTTGTAATGAAAAAAATAGTGCATAAAATAAAATTTTGTTGAATTTTTTAAGATTGTAGTTTATCCACATCTGCATTTCCGCGAGCATCAATAATCCGTATATATGGATGTATAATATCAAATACGAAGATAATTGATAAAAGATTTGAAGTTACATTCTACCGTGTCGGCCTTCAAAGTTCCACTAATTTGTGCCTACGTCACCTAAATTGATTTTAAGAGTAGCATTTTCGAGAGTAGGTTTCAAGAGGGATAACCCATTGTGATATATACGCCGCTCGCTCAAATATCACAGTTTATCGAGTATGATATGTAGTTAGCGATTATTCGATAGTTACCAATAGTAGTAAAAGTATGTTACGTATATCGTTATGCTCACGTATCGCGATAGCACCTGTAGAATGACCAAACATCTTTAATCGGTAATATATCCGTACATCATTATCTGCTCCATATCGGTGCATAAAATGTTCCCATTTTTCAATTAAGTATCAAGAATTTTGACGCTTCCATTTGGTCGCTTGATGGGTCATTTCAGATACCCGTTTTTATACAACGTACGTTACAATATTTTCTGCAATCTACGTATCAATTTCATTGATATTCGTTTTGTATGCATTCCATTTTTTTCGTTTTGCTTGGTGACCCTACTGGAGCAACGCTCATTTGCATAATGAACGAAATAGTAAAGTCGAAAAATACAAACAGATCCAGTGGCGTATCTAATCGAGCATGCAGGCCATTCCGTCGTTTCTCGACGAGATTCATCAAAAGCGTATACGAAGTTGTGCTCCTTATAATAGTACGATAAGAAATCACAGTGTCTTGCGTTTGTTAGCAGCGTTTATGACAACACTCTTTCTACAAATCAGTGTCATGTCTTCTTTCTTGGCATCCATTATTTATTTATGACCTTAATTATGTCTGCAATTAAAATGAGTTCTGATTAAAAATAACCGATACTTATATAAATAATCAATACTGAAAAGGTATCAATATTGAAACATTTTTAAAACCAGATCGAAAAGTAAAGCATTAAAATATGATACGATACCATTTCGGTCAGATTTTTCTGCAGAGCTGTACGTAATGCGATTCGAAATGATCCTCGCAGACTCTAGTAGTTGGGTAAGGAATCAGAAACACACGGAAGGTCTATAGAGTCCGATGTAACCGCATAGTCGTGCACGAAGAGCCGGCAGAAGTATCGCCGCGGCAGATAGATTGTCTTGCAGCTGCGAGCATTCGCAGATCAGCAGATACATCTTGTCGCCTTGCGACATCGATTTGTGCAAAGTAATGCGTCTGAGACCCACCGATTTCGGTAAGTACCGATACATCATACGCGCACCTGCAATATCATAAAGATTGATATAGTTCTGGAATAAAATAGAGATTCTTTATATCTTACAAATGTAGGTAGACAGTATATAACATTTGCTTGAAAAATATTCTAGCAAAATTAAATTTGCAGCTATAGTTAGATCATTAGATACCTTGTAACAAAGTAGCTTAAAACTCAGTTTAAAAATGCTGTTATTTTGATATACATAGATTTTTCATAATAAAATTCCAGAAGGCAACTCGAGTAATAATGATTAAAGTAATAAACCGTAAATTTACCTGTCCAATAGAGCCAATTTTGTTCAAACTTAAGACCGTCGTCGCCCTCGAATACTTTGAAAATCGATACTATATAGCCGGTGGACGGAATAGGTGGTCTTCCACCGGGCGGCTCCAAAGGCGGTCTCGCGATTGTCGCCACTTCATTGAACAGATCCAATGTGTGGCTGGCCGCGTATCTCAGATCTCGCGGGTCAAATTTACGCAGAGCCGCACATTGTACTTCATTATAAAAATCTACTGGGTCCGTGTTTTGCTTGTTTATTAGATAATATGTGATGAACGGGAAATCCGCTGAAACGGGAGCTCAGCTAAACAGTCTTAAAAAGACTCGTCGTCACGTTGTCGTCTCTCGGTGGGGGATATTCTAATTTTACGTACCGTTCTTCTCCATGTTTGTAAGTAAAATGCTTTGCGACGCGGAAGGTGCTATCTCAGCGACTAGTTCTGCGGCAGTATCGCGTTGTAGCACTAGCGGGCGAGACACTGGTGACTCGATTAAAGGGTCCAGTGGCTCCAAAGGCGTCATAAAATGCGCGAGAACACATTGCTTCGGGTCCTCAACCTCGAGAACAGACAAAGGGCTTCCTGGTCTCTTCTTATCGGCGACAGGAGCGTGCTTTAAATAAAAAAATCGAGTTACAAAGTATAAACAATAAAATATACGCGAATTACCAATCATAATTATTATTGAGAAGTTGAGTAAAAAAATGAAAGATAGAAAAACAAAACTGATGCTTCCTCATTTTCTTCGATATTAAGATATCAAATACAGTTTTATTCTCGTTCTTTATCTAAATTTTTTATAGATTTTATTTTTGAGATTAAAAATTCTAACTACATTCTTGGAGAAAAAATTCCGAATTGAATTAAGTGAATGCAACACAAATTAGCAAATACTTATAGCATTTCAATTTTATTACAAAAAAAATATTTCTAATCGCTTTCAATAATGTATATGCGCACGAGCTGATGTGATTTTATTAAATATTAATACTTCTCGGAATTTCAACTTCCAAAGTTTTATCATGAACTATTTAGTAGATAACTTTAACTATTTTTAGATGTTTGACACAAGGCTTGTACGCAAGGTCGCAGCTTGCAAGAGGCCAATAGCTCGACCATTCTAGTTTTGGCAGAAGCTTTACTTACTCGTAAGAACGAGCCTCTATCTATAAGTTCGTCGACTACATCAGATACTTCTATGATATTCTGTTTATTATATTTTGGACAAAGCTATCATAAAGCTATAGAGATTTTAAATAAAATATTAACATTTAAAAACCGTTTGAATAATTGCTTTATTGCCTGATTTCACTCGCGACAGAATTTCTTGCAAAATTTGGAGTCAATTATTCTTAATGAAAATGTGGATAGATAAATCATTGATAATTCCAATATATTGTTTATGACTAGAATATTACCGGAGTGCTTCAAGTTAATTTAAAATTTTGCAATTGAAGTGCTAGAACACCTTGTAATTTTGTCTTCTCTTAAGAAACATGTGAGTAAATAATTTTATTCAATAACTCACTGGTACACCTGCTGGTAAAAAACGCTCAAGAGAAGCAAGAGGTATAATGAAACAGTCACGGTCCAAAGTGGCCAAGGAAATTGGTTCACCTCGCGGTGGACTGCTTCCAGAAACCACGAGAGGTGTGTACGTACCGGAAGCACGGTTGCCACTGAAGGATACCTGCTAAAACAATAATGCAATTAAAAAATTATATACGTATTAATGAGACATACGTAATGCTCGCTAATAGTTAATACTCTCGAACCACTTTTTGATATTAAAAAATGTTACTAGGCTTAAAAAGTCTGTTACAGATTTATGCTTATACATACTTTATATGCTTATACATACTATTTATGCTTATACATTATACAGACTTAAAGTTGAAAGAGCTGGGATACGACGCTATATGTGCAGTATGTGCAAGTGATGTGCGCGCGGACATATCTAGCAAATACATTTATCAGCATACATATATATAGCAACAATAATAAAGATGTCATGTAATACGTGTCCGAATAAAATGAAAATAAGCCATGGGCATAGGTGAAACACCGTAATGGCATTTGCACGTACACGCTTCGCGTCTGACCCGATTCATTTTTTACTACTACTTGCGCCTAAGCGCAAACGGTCACCACCGTAGATTCGATCTGCTCACATCTCTTCCACCGGTTTCTCACCGGTAGGTTTCATGTGCTTATGTATCCTGGCTCTCGTAGACCTTATATTTTTATACTTCACGTATCTACGATACAGCAACGTGGTTTACGTTGCATGTCAATTTTGCAGGTGCGCTTGACGTTAGCGATTGATCACACTGCCTCGTAGTTTTTCATTCTGCGTCCAGTAATCGTAAATTGTAAAATGTCGTTTTTCTATAAAGTAGAAGCATGTTAATACACGGAAGAGAAGCAATTTTTAAAAATGTAATAATTTATCTTGCTGCTTTTTTTTTAAATTCAAATAATAAACATTGAAAATTTGACCACATATAATATTTATTTTAATAAATTTCATTACTCAAATTATTTTAACTTTTCAATAGTTAAAATTTCATTAAATAATGGTAAATTTTCCATTTTTCTTATGTATAAAAATGTACATATTATTTTATGTCATTGTAGCAATGCGTGCATAGAATGTGTTTGTGCGCACATCATTAATAAAATGCGAGAAACACGCGCAGAGAAAAAGTTGCACGATCCATAACAATTTGCATGTTTTAGTGTATCTAAAAATAAAGCATCGAGCAACACTGTAATGATAAGCAAGTCTCTAGTAGCAATACGTATTTGCATTGTACTTGCACGCACCGCACGCAGGGACGTTTATAATTGTCTTTACACATCATTTGTAAACTTCCAGTGTTTACATATACATAAGTTACTTTTAAATACATAACCAGATCATTATAAATAAAGTAGTTTGGACTTCACTTTGATCTAGTTTAGCAAATTGTAGACTCATATTTCATTGCCGCGTGTTGTATTTGTATTTTATCTTAAACAGCTATTAAATTCTGAATGTAACATCACGTTGTTATGTATATGTTAATTAGGACATAGAGTAGAGACTGTTTTTTATAGCAATGGTTCCACTGGGATGTGTTAAACTGTACTGCTTCTTTTAATGTTTGACATGTTAAAGCTGCATATAAATTAAATATTATGAATACAGTTGTCATAATTTAATGTGCAAATTTATTTAATGTTAATATGTCATTAAGTATTTGACTTTACAGTATTTTTTTGGAGAAAACATGCCCTTTGAAAAGAAAAATGTTATAATTAAAATTAAAAAAAAAAATGTCATAATGCTTAAAAACTTGAATTGTAGATATCTAGTTACAATTAGTTTATTAAATGTGTAGAAGTAAAATTTGCACTAATAAGATAAGATTTCATTCATGATTAATCTTATAAGCTTTTAGTTGAGTCTTGTAAATTTGTTTTTTCATCATATCTATATTTTTATTTATATTTTTTATTTTTAACCAAGTTATGTCTATTGAGTAAAAGAAACTATTTGATCCTCTTTTATTTTTTACTAATCAACAAATATGTGATGGGCAATACGTGAAACAAAACATCTTTATCTACAATGTTTGAATATTAAATACTTTGTCCATTGTATATACATTAGGAAAAGTATTCAGAAAATGCATTGTAAAGGTCAAAAGTCGCCATACAACATTGCAATCTACATCAGACTACGAAAGCTGCAACAATATTTCAAAGCAATACTTTTGAATTTCTGCATTTATGCTTTTGCACGAGAAAAATGTAACAAAGTACATGTGACATATTATATAGTATTTTTAATGATTTAATTAATAATTATTATTTTTAATTTATTTTTTTTAATTATTAATAAAATATCATTAACTATTAATTTTATACTGACCTTTTAAAATAGTTATAAAATGTCATTATTGCACAAATTTCAATTTGTAACAGAACGAATTAGATACATACAGTAATGTTAAATTATCCATCGTTCCTGTGAAAATTGTTTGAAATCCCAAAAACGTCGCTTGATATTGATCTCGTATCATTGTTTACGTAATACTGTCGTTAAGAATTTTATAACTGGCTTTCCTAGAAGGAACGCGCTCGCGTAGAGACAATGACGTTTTTTCTCTCTTTCTTCTTTCTTAGTTTTCATAATCCTTTCATTATCAGTCATGTTGCATTAGCGTATGTTGCTTGCTATGTGTTTCGTATCTTTCTATCCGTTGAAAATAAATATTATGCAAATAAATGTCGAATTGAATGACCACCCATTGTCTCAGAACTATTGAGCTGTAAAATCGCGATTAATACATTTTTCAATATTTTTAAACATCTCGAAATGATGTACTTATCGGGACAAAAAACTCCTTACTTTATTTTTCTGCGTACATATTTCACGCTATCTGATCGTCCGATAAGCATTGCATGTGTTATTCGCTATCCTTAGCATTGAAGAACGTCAAGACACAAAGAGAATCACTATCATGATAATTATAAATTTATCGAGGTAAATAACGTCAGTTGCCCGAAACATTAACTGCGTTCAGCAAACCTAGCAAATTAAACTGCTTAGTGAGTTTAGTTATTAACGATTTGTGCATTTGATTGGTGTACAATTTTTGTCCAATCAGATGTACCAATCATTAATCGCATATTAGGCAATTTATTTTATGTTTTCTGAACGCAATTAATTTGTTATTGCGTGTTCGCCATAATACTTTCAAATCTTGTACATTTCACTTCATGTCGAATGTTCCCGCCGGTGTTGTAGTTGAATTGTGGTCACTCCGCGTTCTCGCGTTCTCTGCGTTTCTTTTGTTCCTCTCAGGTGAGTTCTATGTACGAACAAGTGTTGATAATACCGAAGTTTATTAACGGACAATCATTTCGAGGCATCAAAATATACATATCCACGCGATCGCATTTCTTGACGTTTGAAGTCGGAGACTGTCGTTTCCGTTGCGGGACTCAGTTTTCTGATGCGCGTTTTACATGCATATTTCGCGTTTATCCAACGAGTGGTTGCGTGTGCTATTCGCTATCGGCGTCGAAAAGCATCAAAACAGTATCAAAGAATTGCTATGATAGATTTATCGAGATAAGTAACATCGCTTGCTTGAAATTTTGGCTGCATTCAGTAAAATCAGTAAAATCAGTAAAATGGCGGTTTCAGTGAATAGTGAATAATACAAGATCTCTGATTGGTCGCTGTTTGTGGTTCCCGGAGCAGTTAATTTAGTTGTATTTGTTGAATGCAGCCAATGAGATGCTGTAACTCTTTTAAAAATCTACGTCATAATTCAGTTCGTGACGAATGTTGCCGGTACAGTGATTGAATTGTGGTTTTGCGCTCTCGCGTTTTGCTTTTTCCAAGTAATTTCGGGTAAATTCTGCGTACAATAGAATGTCAGAAATGCTGTATTGAACGATTAGTCGTCATCCCAGTATACCTATTAACTTATGTGATCACGATTAATGTGTTTTTTGTAAGCACAGTCACATAACCTACTTATTGGAACATTGCATTTTCTTTCTTAATAGTTCTTCGTATAAAATGGCGGAAATCTTAAAAGCGTTGGTGAATTTTGCATTTATGTCGCGACTTTTTGCGCCCGGGTTTTTTTTTTAAACGAATTTTGTATGGTGATGACAATGCAATCTTATCTTTATTCCGAAATTTTTTTTATAATTCTCTCAAATACAATGCTCAGTGTGAGTCCAAGCGCTGAATTACGCTCATTCTATTTCTCGCGTCATTTCATCGAAACAAATATCGGTAGTGAATTAAATAAATTAAACAACGAACGCTTCAGTGAATATTGTGAGTGTAAAAGTGTAACTTCTAAAGGAACAGTCGGAAGCAGAAAACAGCAAAGCGGTGACAAGAAACAGAAAGGAGCAACATATTCGTAGCGGCGTTGAAGCGGCAACGTATCGACTCGGTGAATACCTAAATCTGTTTATTACATTTTCATTGTTGATATATTTACTTGTTAATTTATTGAAGCAATTATAAAGAAATCTGCTTCTTGATTAATGACACATTAATCATTCTCAACTATTATTTTTGCCCTAATTTCTTATTCAATCATTTATGAATCGTGATTACAATTGTAAATATTGAAATGTAGCAGAATACACCTGCGCGAGCAATTATGTTTGAAACATGCGAGTAACGACGCAAGTAAATTCTGTTTGTCAATTTTTTGCCAAGCGATGCCAACATGAGTTTCATTACGTTCTTTAACATAAGCGCCACGGCGCTTGTGACCCGAAAATATTTTCTCTTGTGTGTGAAATATGAGACGTACTAAACGTTTGCAAAGATATCCATAAAATGCGATACGAGGGGTATTTTAAACAGATTGACGGCACACGATAAACATTAAGTGTCGAATGTTTGCACCCGTCAATTCTTGTGCTGAATTTACGGCACGTTCGCGGAATTTACTATAAAAGATAGCGACTATAAGACAGCACGCAATGAGATAGCGACTTTGTCTTTCGACTTGGGTAGGTGTTACTTTATATCTCTTCTTTTCTTCTATTTCCACTGTAGCTTAACTTTATTACTTTGCTTTATTGGTTAGCTTTATTGGTTAGCTTTATTGAAATTCTTCGCTGACGAACAGCTTGCTTTAAAGAATGGCGTTCGTTTACAACTGAATTTCAATAAGAACAACGATAAAATAGTCTATCCAGAATCTTGATATATTACACTAAATTTTTATTAACCTTTTGATTAATTCATTTTTTATTCTAAAGGATTCAGAAAATATTAAATCATATCTAAAATAAAAGTATTTACTGAATCGCAACAAATTATTATTTTCTATTTGGAATATGTGTGAATATTTAGTCATGTTTATTATAATATTTGTCATATTTAGAATGCGTGTTGATATAAATTAAAATAGCCATTACTGAACATAAAATCATCATAAATTAGACGACAGGTCAGTTTCAATCCATACTGCAACTTTTTGGCCTTATGTAGATGACAGGAAGTAATGAGATATAACGCATCGAGCGAATGGTTGTTGGGAACGTTCCAACACTGCACAGTTCACTCTTTAGATCATATAGTCCCAATGTCGCGAAGAACATAGTATCCATAAATTAATTCTAATTCACGTTCTAATCAATTATGAAGATTACCATAATTATGGTTACTCATTGCAAGGCATAATTACAGCAGTTCTTCGTACGTGATTTGCGTTACAAGATACGCGTGCTTTATTGTTGATTAATGCATTCTACATTATACATCACAATTTAAAAACAACTTAAACTAAACAAATGCTCTTCAATAAGAAGTTTTTCTCTAAATATACCGATAAATTAACATTGTTTCTCTATGCATCTTATCAGATTAATGCATTTGATCTTGGAAATAAATATTTAGAAATAATTTAAATGCATCCAAATAAAGGATCTAGGAAAAGAATATGATAAATAACTGAATTTTTAGCAGAGAAAGTTTAAACTTAAAAATTTCATTAGAAATCGAAATTATTATTAAACATCGAAAAGGGTGTTTATTAAATTTGCTCCTAGATCCTTCGAATTCTTAAAAAGTGATCTGCACTTACCTGCCTGGACGCTGTCGGGGTTGGTGGATCGGAAAGTTCCTTCTGCTGGCCAATTTGATTCTGCTTTCTCCTAGCTTGATTAGCGGTTTGTGCGCCCTGTGCAGAGCCGACGGTCCCGCCGCCGCCGCCGCCCCATTTGATTACGTGGGGCCCGGAATTGCGACGCGGCGGCGGGCCCAGCCGCTCGCCCGACTCTTCGGGTGGTGAGCCAAGTGCCCCACCTGCAGGCGGTGACAGGAACAGATGAGTGCGATAGCTGTGTCCCTGGTGCTCGTGATCGCCCATCGACGGAAAGTATCCGTACTCCCGGCTGCGTCGTACGGGTCCACGCGCGCCGCCGATCACCGAATGACCGACGCCGCCGCGCGTCGCGCCAAAACGCGTTCCTAAACCCTGGCTGTAGGCCCCACCGGTCCCGTAAGCGGCGGCGCCGAGAACGGGCCGGACTTCCCCTAGTCCTCCTCCACCTAGTCCGCCACCACCGGGTCCTTTCTCGCCCCCGAAGTTCTTGCGGAACATAAGATTCATGACTGACTTCGGTGCTCGATCTCGGGGTAGCTGTCGGCGTGTTGCGCTCGTGTATGTGTGTTTTTTATCGGCTTTAACTTTTACCCGACCGTTCGGTACGCTCCGGTCGATTCGGGTGCTCTAAGATGCGCGTGGAAGAGAGGCAGTGGTGGTGGCGGTGCGCGACGATCACAAGGAGGGTACGGGAGTTTTTAGTGTTTCTCTAGATCTTTCCTAAATCTCAATACACGATCCCGACTTCGCGGCTTTCCCGGCAGGAAGAAAGCTCTTTTTCCTTTTTCCTCACATGATTCTGGACGCACTGACGCTTAAACTCACGGCGGAGTGTACTACGATAATAATAATCTTGACATGTTAAAAAAGCGTCGATTTGGGCTTGTGGTGTCGAGCCCAGGAGAGAACGATAAATGATACAGCGTCGGGCGACATTGAGGTCAGAGTTTAAAGCCGCTCGTGCGATGGCACTGACAGTGAACCTTGATAGCAAACTCGCGGGAATGTTCGACGTTCTTAGCTTTTACGGCGACTTCCTGCTGCCGTGTGGTTCTAAAGCACTTGCGTGGCTGATCTAGGTCGAACAAGAAGAATAATAACGATCTTTTACCCGCCCTGTGCAATCTCGGCTGAAATACTCAGATAATCGACAGTTGACCTTACAATATTAAAAATGAATAAAATGACGATACAGCATCTACACCATTCAGATATATTGAAATGAAACAGCAATAAGTTTGGAATTTTTTATGTTTTACGTAATATTTTTTTGCAAAATTGTCATACTATCAGTGTGAAATTACCATAAAAATATAGTAAGAATTATTAAAATTATTTTCTTTTATTATAGATAGTATAACACTTAGCACAATATATATTTATTTTTTTTTTGTTTCATAGTTTTCACGTGCAAAAGTTAAATCTCTATTTTTCGCGATGCATATAATAAAAAGAATGATGTAAATAATATTGGATTTATTTCTAAGAAATAAGTTAACTCACGTTATTTCTTCGAATATTATCCATAGTCTGCGAAGAATATGCACTTGTAAAGAAACCCGTAAATGATTCATTAATTCATGCTTGCACACTTTGTCGTTTTACTTCACTTTCTTACTTCACTTTTATTTTTTGGCGCGTAATTACTAATATTTCAGCATTCGAATGTAAGCCAAACTGAATATTAAGATCGTTAAATAGTTTTTAACGAACTATAAAATTTTATAGCCGCATTCGTTTAATAGGCTATTTAAATTTTCTAGTCGATTACTAAAAATATATGTTCAAAACTATACTTTAGAGATGAAGATGTAAGAAAATAAGTCAGGAAAATATTAAACAAAACTGTTGACAAAGTAACAGAATAGTTAAAAATATGAAAACAATTATCTCTCCTCTTCTCTTATTAATATAATTGTGCATTAAAATTATTTGAGGATGATTTTTTAAATAAATTTAGAAATTTTTTACACAGTTAATAGATTTTTTAGACAAACAAACAACATTGTGAACAAGCTGCAGCTTAATGCATTTCACATTGATCATTCTTTCATTTTTCAAACAAATTTCACTGCGACATACATACGTGTAATGCATCACACCGTTAAAAACAAATATTGATAAAATCGGAACACGCGCTGCAATATGTATGTCGAATGATTCAACGCACGAAACAAATATTAGATTATCCGAGAACTTCGCCGAGATTCAAATTTCACTTCGAAACAACACTATCGATGCACACGACTTGTACTTTAACTTGGTGGAGTCATAACGAAAAATACATTGGTTAGACGGAGAGGTTATCGAACTAAACCTGCAACGATAATTTCAACGCACAAGGTCACGCGAGTCTCGATTGTTTTGATGTTTTCTTAATTCGACACATTCCAAACAGTATCAAATTCTACGCGCTATTAATTTTTTTGTGGCTGTCAGATTCAAGTCAGATATCACTTTCAATATTTAACAATATTAATTAGTCATCGTATTAACAATTTGTACACTTTACTCCTAAATGCATTATGAATGTACTTTGCAACATCCCTTTTTTATTCTCAGAACATTAAACTTGTGAAATTACAATATTTTAATTGACCGTCAAAGAGCTTAATACGTAACATCGGATTAAAAGCGGCACAAGCAACGCGCGTCGACTAACGTTTGCCTCTTCACAGGAGGACTGTCTCGTCGTAGGAACGGCACGAGCTTTAATAGCGAGTCTCTCGATTGATCTAAAGTAGACTGCTTTGTCATTATGGCACACGGCGCAGACATAGATGCGTGAAACAGACAGCAGATTAGTTTCCATTTAATCTAATACTAGGTGTTTTATTCGATAATGATAAGGATAAAAGTGGTGCAATTTGTACTGATTCATATTTTTGGAATATTTTTGGAAATTGGCTGTACTGCCAAGATTTTCTGTTATAAAATCATTGCTGAATAAAATCGTTTATAACTTTAGAATATTAAGAATGCTCGGTGTGATTTTAAAAATTTATAACATTTGAATGGGAAAAACTTTTTAACACAAATCTTAATCTTATTTTTATGGTAATTTTATTCTAATAGTTAAAAGTGCACAAAATATTTAATAAAACGTCCAACTTCAAATTTGTGTTACATATTTTCATTTTCATATATTCCAATGGTCCATATATTTTTAGAAATTTTGCTTGAGAAAACTTTTATTTTTTTTATACGCATACTTGATCGCTACCTACCATGCGAATTAACGAGATAACTGACTTTCATTATTTTATTCGATCTATAGTTGGCGGCAAGGTATGTAAGAGTGAGTTTGCGGTATATAAAGTTATTGGATTTGAAGGTAAAGCTTTCTTCGTTGTTTATAGTCTCTGATGCAAAATGTTGTGCAAAAACTGACGCATATTAAATAATACTAGGGCATTTAAATGAGTTTTTTAATTAATTTTGCTATCGGTGTTAGCTTTATAGCATTTTACTTGAATAATACGTTAAAATATTTTACAGAAAATAGTGAAACGTTAAAAATTATTGGTATATAGGTATTTTTAATGTAATACAATATAACCTCAAAAATTATATAAATGATTTTTGATGGTCTATAAGTAATTAGCAAAAAATTGTATTTAAAATAAGGAGATCTATTGGCTAAACATTTTAGTTAGTAATTATGTGTGCGAGTGAAACAAATTGCGCGAATACTGCAATATTGCCGCAATGAACTGCAGGAATTTATCCTATTGATTTCTACAAAATCCTCCGATCTTGCTCCGCTTGAGTCATGTATCGTAGAGAAAAACTCTACGATACGTAGGTACTCTACTTTTTACAACAGTAAAACAAATGCTGAGATCAAAAGATATCCTTAGAGATTTACACGTATGATGTTAAAACATTATAAAACTATTATAAATTTTTATACAATAATAACTGTTCTTTAATCACCATTTATATCATATCAAACGTAATTAGTTCCTACATTTTAAGCATTAAACGCGAAATAAATCAAATTCTAATTATAATCAGTCTGCTCACAAATATCTGGCACTCAAGTGTCGAAATCAAGATTGAATGAATATTTAACGCTCTCTTTATTCACCACTAATATTAAATCATGTGTGAGTCAAAGCGTACTTTTCAATTTTTATGATTTTATTCAACATACTATCTTTATCAGTCAAACATTTTGGTAGCCGCATGTGCCACTTTTTCGAATGAAACTTCAAGTTAATTCCGATCGATTATTCTTGCTTCATCATGACTTTTATCTTTTCTACACAATGTGGTACAAAAATGGGCTTAATCAAGTATATTGATTTTTTGTTTCTTTGAGGAGAAAAATTTGGCACTTAATAACTAACGTCGCAAATATTTTTTGCGAAATTTCAATTATTATATTAGATACAAGAAATATTTAATTATTACACTAGATACGAGAGACATTTAGAAGAAATATTACGCTTTTTATATTTTATTTTTCTCTCGTATATCGACCAATCGCGGAAGTGCTACAATTATTGAGAAACAATCGGTCAGATTCTAGCAAATTTCCAAGTTTTACGCAGTAAGGAAAGTAAGCGAGCGGCTGTCTCCACTAATATGCGAATGTACATGAACAAGGACGGAACGGTCGTCTATAGCTGCTGTTGAAATGCTATTATGAGCGACAATACCGATTTACGACTCATGGTTAATCGCAAGCTATAATTATACGCAGGAAATATGATCCGAAAACCTGCGGTTATTTTCATGTATGATAAATGTCATAATGACACGCCATTGAAATAATTGCGCTATGATGTGACAAAAATAAAAGCAAGGATTAGCCACAGAGATATAGGGTAGGAATCAATGAGTAATTTGCAACAGTTGGCATCTTTTGAAATAAACACAACATAAACACTATTTAAACACAAAAAGCTTGCCTCTTGAGTATGGAAAGTTGAAAAAGATTGTAAGGAAAAGAAATTAATTTTATACTGCAATTATACACAATAAGTTTTAAATAATTTATTGCCTGTATTTTTACGTAAAAGGGAATTTCACGCGTGAACCTAGTAGTCGGTGATACTCGTACTGCGATTATGCTGGACATCGAGAAAAACAATAGCTTTATTGATGTTGTGAGAGCGCGAATAACTGGGAATGTCTGCTTCGCTCTGTAGATCGATACTATATTGAAATATTCACAAGTAACTCGATTGGCGTGAGTGCACAATCGCGTTGCAAGGATAAAGCATTAGGTAACAGAAATTGCATTGATTAAGGACTTTTATCTATCGTTGCTTTCAACATCGAACTTGAACTTTGCGTCGTGCAATTTCATATAATTTGATTTTTCGTGCGAAATTAAACGGTACCGTTCTCTGTGGATCATCAGTAATATTCAGCGACATTGAGTTCTGCATTTGCTCGATTCATTAGAGACAGGCGAGAAAAAATAACGTCAGAGTCACGACAGGCGTCATAAAGGCATTCATGAAACACGTGTCCCGTGCACCCGATCGATCGCGCATTGTAATATTTACACTACTCGCGATTGACGGCAAACTTGGGATTCAGACATCTCTGCGATAATAGATGACGTGAACGTAGCATTTGGATCGAATTCATTATCGATAACGTACTTGTGAAATGTAGTGTAATACTTCGTAACGGGCGATATTTTTACGCAAAAGTTTAGTTTGCGTACAATGTATAATTGGGCAAATTTTCAATCGATATATTAACTCGATTTTACAATCCGGCTACTTTTCCTGTCAAATTAGTGTTGCGCGCAAAACGCGATTTTGCAAGTCAGATAGTTTTGTTGACATTCGAATAACTTAGCTTCGTGTAAAAAATTCAAGGTAAAACCGATCATTGATGTATCCAAATGGATAGGGATGATCATTATCGCGTGAGCATTCATGAAACACGTGTTTTATGTGGTAGATCGATAACACGTTGAAATAACCGGACGCGAACGCGTACTTACGCACACTATCGCGTAGGAAGGAGGGCCTACCCGCAGGGTGATATCTCGATATTCGGATAAAAGATAGATTTCTCTACGAACAACGCGAGTGCACGGCGGGGCTGGAGAGAAGAGCACTCGCGACACACACGTGTTCCACACGCGGTAGATCGATATTGTAGATTGAAATATTCACTGTATGTAACGCGACGTGTGCCGCGACGACGGTACGTCAAGGTCTTTCCGCGAAGGTTATTATCTCTGCCTGTCCGGGCTCGCTTGATCCAAGCATGCGATGCCACGCGACGATATTAGCTTGACAGCACACTTTGTGCGATGGTACCTCGATCGGAAGTGAATACGGTCCTGGGAATGCACTCGCAATGTTGATCCAAGAGCGCGTGTTCTTTCACGTTACCTTCGAAGGTCGCGGTGGAGTACGCGCGGGAGAGAGAACGGTGCGAAGAGGGTAAGAAGCGTGAAGAAAGACGGAACGCGCGACGAGACGCAACGTACTCTTGGCGAACGGCACCCTCGCACTGAGGCGTGCACGAGGCATCGCGACGCTTCCCAGGGCCGTCGAAACAGCGGTCCGCCGCAACGCGCCGCGACCAGACATTAGACACGTGTAGAGCCGCTACACGATATGCTTACCTAATTCACGGTTCGTAGTTCGGAGTAATTGCCGTCGCGCGCACTTCCGATAAGATCTCTTTGTTGAAGGAACGGCTGAGCTATTGCACGTCGTCGCATTTGGCGAGCATCGTTAGCGACGATAATATCTATTTTAAAAGCGCTCTGGCGCAGACAGGAACTTTCGAGCGGTTAAATTAGGAATTAGTTTTTGTTCGCTTGTCATAAGGAATTATTTAAATAATATATAGTAATGTTGTCATATCCGTTGATTGAAAAAAAAGATATTCCACGAATGTGAATGAATATGTTGCGGCATTTCTGACAATTCAAAATATGATATTTGCTGCCGTAATGTTGAAACATTGCAAGGCGGTACATTTTATATTTTATGATAATATTTTTATTAAAATACTGATCCATTTTTATGCAGTTATTTGTAATTTAATGAATAATTATATAAAAGAAATACGTAAAAAAATTATGCGTAAATGACCCGTAATATTATTTAAAAATTGATTATGTGGAAAACAAAATAAAGATAACTATTAATGTGAATCTCCGAAGAAAGAGATTTCAGAATTAATTACGTGTGCAAACGTTTCTTATCGTAAAATACCTAGCTAGCAGATAACATTGGGCTCCCAATTATTCAAATTAATTTTCATAGATATATCTTATATTTTTTTGATTATTGATTGACTTAAAGGCTTTTGACAAAATTCATTAAAAGATAAAATTATAATACTTCTGTTTTTATTGTTATTAGTAATAACAGATATAACTTATATTCGATATTTTAATTTTTTAAACGAAGATAAATATAAAAGTTGTTATTCAACCAATTTGCAATATTTCACATTTTGCGTGAAAAATGGTGGTGGATTAAACACATACAACTCTATATATACTATTATTTATACATATATACACGTCTGTATTCGCTAACTGAACTTTTCAATGTGAGCTGCCCCAAATATCTCTTGTTGTGAAGTAAACGGCACTAATTGATGACTCGTGACACTTCGCATGACTGGCATACTGACACTGACTTTTCTGCGTAGCATCATAACATTTATCATAGCGCTGCCAAAAGTCGTAATCCGAAAAGAAATGATCACCGCAAATAAAAAATGTTAATTTTTCTATAACAAAACTGTCTCATCATTGTTACTGTTTCAATTCTAAGTTCACGAATTAAAGTGAACAAAGGTATTGCTTGTAATAATGCTCGCGAAATACAAAATAGATTGTCTGCGCAGAAGGTAGCTTTCCAAAAAAGTGAAAAGGTCCAGCACAGATGCTGCGACATGCTAATAAGAACTCTCGTACCGCTTTTTCTACTAGACACCAAGGATAGAGGCCATTGTGTTATTGCTCGGAAATAACATAATGCAATTCGATAATTAGAAGGATA